AGAGGGGTTTTGCTGCCAAGCTGGAGCACTGAGCAAGATCTAGTGCAAGTTGCATGGCAGGGATGGTCATGAATAAAACCTAGAGCCCGTCATTGCCGATGGAATCAGAAAAAACAAATGTAACCTACCAGTATCAGAGCACGTATACAGATGGGAGAACCCCAGTGATAAGTTCCCAAGACAAAAATGAGAGGGCAACATTTGCAAGTGATGTCCAATTTGGTTGATGCAGAAAGATCAGTTTGGTGGACTTATTAAACCAGGCCCAGGTGGCAGGTTTGTGGACCTAACCAGTGGGGCACACTTCCTACAGGTGGAGTTGGGACTTTAATCAGTACAGTGCTTCAAAGGAATCACCCATTTCCTAGGAAGAAGAGGAATCTAGCCAGAGGCTCCCTCTGAGTCACATTTGCCTTTAAGTACCAGAAAGTGCAACTCTGGAAACCCAATTCCCTCAATAACCATCCTGATGTATTACAACTTCGCTTCTCATCCCAGACTCCCTAGAACACAATTTTAGCACATTTGGAAATCAATGTTGTTTGGTACTTTTCTGATCATTTATTTCCCCACAGATGCAACAGGCCAAATATTAAGTCCTTACTGGGTCCTGTGGCATAGCTAATGCTCAGTGAGTAGAATACACATAGGCTCAGGGGTTTTAAACCTGAAAGCTGTGGGCTCATCACTTAACCTCTCCAAGCCGCATTGTCCCCATCTGTAAAGTGGGATTAATAAAGCACCACTTCTTATTCTGAGGCCTAAATAAAAGTTTGGGAAGCACTTAATGTGTTATCTGGAATGCAATAATCATTAAATCATAATCTGTTAAATAGTTTTTTAGGGGTGCTGTGATTGTGAGAGTTTAGTGGTAAAGGTAAAGTATGCTTGGGATGATTCTTGTATTTGTAGTCCATTTTATTCACATATCCAAAAGTGTGGGAGACCACCCCATTGATTATGCCCAAAGCACCCTGTAAGCATTGCAGGCTGTAAAGAGTTAACCCCACAATTGGCTTATTTTAAGACGTGGGTCTGATCAAAGCATATGAGATAAAACACAAGCCGAAGTCAGAGTGACTCTTACCCAAATTCCATTCCCAGCCTAACACAACGATGTTGTCTCTTCTTTTACAAGCCATGCCTGCATCAGCAACATATCTCTAGCAACTACATGTAGCACCTACACATAGCCTCCTCACCACAACTCAATAATGATTATGTCACCAATAAATATCAGTGGCTCTAATCTTTCAGGGCCTTGGCTTGCTCAGCACTGGTCATCCTGGGTCCCCATCTCTTTCTCTTTAACTCTGTCTCTAAGTCTTTCTTCTTGCCATGCATCGTAGCACCAAGCAGTAGATTGGGATCCACAGCAGGGACCTTCGATACAAGGGTGATCTTGTTTTGATGAGGACTGAGAGAGATATACAAACAGTTTGATGTATATTTGTTCCAATTTCCCAAACAAGTTCTTGAACTTCCTATCAACTTCTCTACTGTGTAGTAATGTAATGTGGGTCTTTTGGAAATCACATTACTTACAGGTAGGTGTTGCTATATGGTTTTCAGTGTACATTGTAATTCCTAATTAATTCTCTTCATGGGTGAGATTCCCCTGCCCCCTGCCAAGTGTTAGTAGACAATTTGGAAATGTTAATTTAAGCCCAAGGTAAGCATTTTTTTTCAAAATAAAAAGAATCAAGGGCTTGACTGGGACAGAACAGGCTGGAATTTAGAATTTCAGTAATTGAAGTGATAGTTATTCATTAGAGAAATAAGCAAAGGGCTTCTCAGAGCAAAAGGTAAATATTTGTGTGTATGGGTGGTGGTTCTCAAAGTATGCATGAAAGCCTGAGGAATCCCCAAGACCTTCTAGCAGGTCCACTAGTCTTGGGGTCCTCCTTTTCCCCATCATAGATCTGCATGAGACCAGGTCTCCAAATACTTCAACCAAAGCTATGCAGCACAGCAGTATGAATGGAGAAGCAGATAGCAAGGAGAGCACAACTGTCATCACGCTAGGCATTTAAAGAGATTTGTAAAAGTATAAAGCAGTGCTGTTATTCTCGCTCAATTTTTTTTCAGAAAATGTACCAATTTTTCATAAAAATATGGTATTTATGTTAATGTAATGGATTTATTATTTTTAAATGAATTAATAGTATAGATTTTTAATTTTCTCAACTTTAACTTCTTATATGGTACATATTAGTAGATAGAATCCATATAAACAAAATTTTGGGGTGGCCTCCATAACTTTTAAAAGTATAAAGGGATTCTGAGACCAAAAAGTTGGAGAACCATTGTCCTAGAGATTTGGCTTCTGGTTTGGAGCCTGTGACATTTACACTAGCTTATCCCCATGGATGCTCAAGTCTCTTATATAAAATGGTGTGGTGTTTGCATAGTTTAACCTGCCTGTATGCTTTAAATTATCTCTGGACCCTCAGTGGTTCCACTGCCTGCCTTGAAAGCACAAGGTCCCGAGTTCAATCCCTGGTACCAAATATATATATATATATATATGTATGTATGTATATATATCTAGGTGACTTGTAAAGTCCAATACAATGTAAATGCTATGTAAATACGGGTTATATTTTTGTTTAGTGAATAGAGACAAGAAAAATGTCTATGTATGTTCAGTACAGATCATTTTCCTCCAATATTTTTAATCCTCATTTGGTTGAATTTACAGATATGAATCTGGGTATGTAGAGGGCAGGCTACATAATTTCAGAGTTCAAAATTCAAATCAGAAAATTTTAAGGAAAGTGGGTAGGAATAAACTGCAAGGAACCCTGGGATCCACATGGGGATTTCAGGAGTGAGGGGTGAAGAAAGCAGAACCCAAGCTTCACTTCATTTGTTTATTTTTGCGTCCTCCTTGCCTTGGGCAAAAGAGTGATGAGAGTGAGCAAGAAAATTAATAATAAGATGAACAATCAGGGAAAGAGGAGGCCAGTGGAGATGGTGCTGGGTATGAAGTGCTACCACTCCACCAGCAGCTGTTTAGGTGTCAGTTCCACACTGTTACCATTGTGTGCTAAGACTTTCCTGATATATAGACTTGAAGATGCTGTGTAGCCTGGTTAACATTCAAGAGAATATTGGTTAAGGTAGGACAAAGATGATGATCAACATTTATGTTTGGTGGAAAAGGAAGATGATAGTTTTAGTTTTGAATGTGATAGGCTCATGGAGATATCTAATAGGCAGGTAGAAATAAGAGTCTGGCCCAGAGTAGCAAAGTAAGTTTGAGGAACAAGAGCAAAGCAGGGGGCATAGCAATACCTGACTTCAAGCTATACTACAAAGCAATAACGATAAAAATGGCATGGTACTGGAATAAAAACAGACATGAAGACCATTGGGACAGAACTGAGGAGACAGAAAACCTCCCCAGACATATTCAACTATTTGATTTTTGACAAAGGGGCAAAAAGCATATGTTGGAGGAAAAATATCCTATTCAACAAGTGGTTCTGGGAAAACTAGTGATCTATTTGCAGAAGAGTGAAACTGCACCCTTATCTCTCAGCATAAACTAAATTAAAATAAAAATGGATCAAAGATCTAAACTTTAAAACAGAAACATTGAACTTACTGGAAGATAAAATGGGTAAAACACGTGACATACGTGTAGGAAAAGACTTTCTAAACAGAACTTCAATCACACAAGAAATATCAAGAATCAACAAATTGGATTATATCAGACTAAAATGCTCCTGTATAGCAAAAGAACAAATTAGTGGAGCAAAGAGACAAGCTACAGAATGGGAAAAAATTTTGCCAGATACTTCTCAGACAGAGGACTAATCTCTAGAATATACAAATAACTAAAAAAAATTTAAACTACCTAAAATTAAGGACCCAGTGAAGAAATGAGTAAGAAAAACAGACATTTCACAGAGAAAGAAATATAAATGATCAACAAATATATGAAAAAATGTTCCATGTCTGGCCATTAGAGAAATGTAAATTAAAATGATGCTAAAATTCCATCTTACTCCAGAAAGAATGGCACTAATTAAGAAATCAAACAATAACAAACGCTGGCATGGCTGTGGTGAAAAAGTAACCCTCCTGCATTGTTGGTGGGAATGAGAACTAGTACAACCATTATGGAAATTAGCATGGAGATTTCTCAAAGAACCGAAATTAGAAATTCCATACGAACCAGCTATTCCCCTGCTAGGTATCTTCCCCAAAGAGCTTGAGTCATCCTATCATCATACTACAGCAATACTTGCATACCAATATTTATGGCAGCATAGTTTGTAATAGCTGAATCCTGGAAGCAGCCTGTATACCCATCAACAGAAGACTGGATAAAGAAAATGTGGTATCTCTATATATATTGGAATACTACTCAGCTATAAAGAATGAGAGATTTATAGGAAAATAGATGCACCTGGAAAATATAACGTTGAGTGAAATAAAACAGACACACAAACTTAACTACCATATGGTATCTCTCATTTGAGTGAGGCAAAGTACAAAGAAGATGATAAAGGGTGGATAGAAAGAGACAAAGGGATGGATCTCTTGCGATAGAGAAGTGGTCCAAGGGAATAAGGGCGAGGGGTGAGGAAGAAGGAAAGAGGAAATGAGAGGAATAATGACGTGCCATGTATAGAAACCTAATAACCACAATGAGTGTAAGCACTATACACTGTAACAGGAGCTAAGACAAATAATATCAACAAGTATGAAAAAGGGGGATGGGGGAACCAGAGGAAGGGGAAGAGGGAGGGGGAAGAGGGAGGGGAAACAGGAGATTAAAAAAAAGTTGTAATATGTACATGTAACCACTCTCCAAGATAATTGTAAACTGCATGCATTGAAAACATGTACTCATAAAAGAAACAAGGGTCTGGATCTTGGGACTGTGATTATGGCTGGATGCATTGCCTTGGGATCAGCATCCTAGAGAAATGGCTGAAGCTGTGGACAAGTGAGGTGACTCCACAACTGTGTCTATTTTGCTTTTTCAGGTCTTCCGTGTGGCCTTTGTTTTCATCAAATTTGCAAATTCTCCTCGCCCATATCGTTGGGTCTTGGAAAGGTCTGTAGACTTTGGAAGCACCTACACACCATGGCAATATTTTGCTGGTAAGTAATCTTGTCTACTGGGTTATAAGAGGAGTTTAATTATTTGATACAGATCAAGACTACGGATTTGATTAGAAAATTAGTCCATCAGTGTGGGTAGGTAGGGACTAATTTTAACCTCCTAAATTGTCCCCAGACCACCTGCGTTTCTCAAGCATGTGTGCATTAATTCCTAGAATCCCACACAAAAAACTGAGGTGGTAGCTCCTTTTATAAGAGTTCTTGCCATTATTTGAGGGTGCTTATTACTGGGCCAGAATTCTAGTCCTTTTTTAAAATGTAGAATTAGGAATCTTCATGGATAATGCACTGTAGATTACCTGACTTTCTTTTCTACATTAATGAAGAATGTCAGTTTCCCTGGACCCTGTGTAAATCGAGGTGAACAGGAATTTTGCTTAAAAGAGTTCTGAGTTTTCCATGAAGACTCCTTGGAGGCTCAATTTGCTGAACAAAGCCTGAGGAGTTAGCACCACATCTCCAAAATTGCCCTTGAAAGTCAAGTAGCTTGACATGATTTGGTATTGTCTTTCATGAACTAAAAACTTATATGTTTTTGTCTGATAGTCTAAAAGACTTCTCTGTTCTTTCTCTTTTCATGTATTATCTTAAGCCTTCTTAAAACATTTTTAAAAATTAAAATATTTTATTTTATAATATTAAAATATTTTCCTAGCATCTTCAGAAGACTGTATGGAACACTTTGGGAAGGTGGCAGATGAACCTCTCACCAGGGACGATGATGTACCCTGTGTCACGAGATATTCCAGGAATATACCTTTGGAAGATGGAGAGGTAAGTAGGTTTGGGGGGCTGTGAGCAGTGAGACTCGGAAATGAGCATGAGAATATCAAATTTTTCATAGTTTTGAAAATTGCGCTTTCAGGGAGATATAATATACTATAGATCAAGATGGAAACCAGCACCTGGGACTGAATGATTAAGCAATCACATCGAGACTCCCAGAGTGAGTGGAATTGGAAATTGTGTTTGGAGTCTTGAATTCTCCTCAGGAAGTCAGAATTTGGGGTTTAAGGTCTACAGGTCTTGAGTTCTCCTTTCTGGTGATAGATTGAGAAGGTAGGTTACTGCTAGCTGAAGCTATGCCTCCCGCCCTCTCTTCACTCATTACCCCCAGTCAGAGCGAGGAGGCCAAGTTCAGGGCAGTCCTGAGCCATGACCCCTTTTGGCAAGATGAACATTACCTGTTGGGGAGAAGAAAATTGCGGTACCTTTGGGGTTTCATCTGTCCCTAGAAAAGTCAGCCTGTCTGTTGTTAGGGGCGGTGGGCAAACAGGTGGGGAAAATCAGAGAAGAATTCCATGGAAATGATGAGGCCATAATGAATATGGTCTGAGTTTTAAATAAACTTCCAGTAAGAGTATCAGTCTTCCTCTCTTTAAGAAGAGAGATCTCGCTGGGCAGGGTGGTGCATGCCTGTGATCTCAGCACTCAGGAGGCTCAGGCAGGAGGATCACTGGGAGTTCAAGGCCAGCCTAGGCTATATAGTGAGTTCTAAAAAAGAAAAAGAAGAGAGATTCTGCTTGAGCAGCTATATCCAGTGTCGTCCAAAAATCCATGAGCATTTCATGTTTCAAATGGTTGAGACTTGGTCTTCATCAGTTCAAGCTTTAAAATAAAACCTAGGTTTTGGATAGGTGTAGGAGTTTTCTAGGTTCATTTTTTCAACTTCATTTGGATTTTTGGATTGCTTCAGCTTTGCTTCTTTGATGGAGCTTGACATAGTTATTTCCTATTTATAGATTTTAACATTATATGTTCAATATTTCATAATATGGCAGCCCACAAAACATTGGTAGAACAAAGGGTTTTTATAAAATTAAAACAACATTGAGATACTGTTTTACTCCAGAAAGAATGGCTCTCATCAAAAAATCAAATAATAACAAATGCTGGCAAGGATGTAGGGGAAAAGGAACCTTTCTACATTGCTGGTGGAAATGTAAAATAGTACAACTGCTACAGAGGTCAGTGTGAAGATTCCTCAAAAAGCTAGAAGTAGAAAGCCCATTTGATCCAGCTCTTCGCCTTTTAGGAATCTTCCTGAAAGAGAGAAAGATATCATATTGCAGGAATACATACATAGCCATGTTAATAGCAGCATAATTCATAGTAGCTAACTCTTGGAAATGGCCTGTATGCTCACCAACAGATGAATGAAGAAAATGTGGTCTTTATACACAGTGGAGCACTACTGTATCATAAAGATAAACTTGAAGCTTTTGTAGGTAAATGGATGCAACTTGAGACCATAACACATGTGTATTAAGTTTTTGAAACAGATCAGACACATAAGCTTAAATATGGCATAGGTTCTCTTACATGAGAAACTTGAGAGAGAACAAATTAGAAGTTGGACACATAGTAAGTAGAGAGATCTTTCTCAAATGCATGGCAGAATAAAAGATAGAGGGGGAAGAAAGGGAAGGAAAGGAGATGGGAAAAAGAACAGAACTGAAGGGTGAAAGTGATGGAAACAGAGCTTCTGCACATGAGAAGGCGGCAAGAGTTGGAAGGAGCAAGGAGGGAGCAGACAGGTAGGGGATGAAAACAAAATAGAGAAAAAAGAATTAAGATATATTATGTACACGGACCAACTCCACACAATCGTTATAATCATTATGTACTGCAAACATGTACAAATAAAAAAATAAAATGGGTGAAAAATGAAAAAAAAATGAAATGGCAACATTGAGAGCCCAGGTTTCAAAGACGATTTATTGCCAGAGCTTGGAACCAGGAAGGGGGAGTGAAGATGCCACTAGCAGTGATCTCTAGACATAGACAAGCTTGGAAACCACCTACACACATCTCGTAGCTCAGAGTAACCAAGTGCTTTGCGGTGTGCCTTACTTTTACATACTTGCTACTCAATTTTGATGAAAAGACTTTCTTTCCCCCCTCCTGTATGTGCTTATTTTAGATTAAGGTGTCCTTGATCCTCAACCGTCCAAGTACAAAAACTTCAAGTTTCTCAAATACCTTGAGGGAGTTTATGCAGGCAACAAACATTCGTCTGCGTTTTCTCCAACCCAACAGCTTTTTCGGCTATCACATCTCCGGATATTTGAGGGATCAAAGCCTCACTCGGCGGGTAAGTGGTGTTTTACAAGTCCCTCATCAGCAACATTTGTTTTGTTCCTTTTTTTGCTTATAAATTAATTCCCTGGAACTCTTTTAAGTAACCTTTATGTCCATTAGTGGTGCAGGCATGGGGGTTATTCTTGTCTGAAATATTAGATGTAATTAGGAATCTGGCTGTTTGAAGAAAATTTATTGCATTCAAAGATGAAAGGCAAAAGCTTATAGTCAGCCTGGTGTTTGCATGGTCTAACTCCTACTGCAATCAACAGTTCCCAAATCTCAGAGGGTTAATGAAATAAAAGTGTGTTTCTTGCTCATGTCACAGTCCAGGTTAAGTCAGCAGGTGAGACTGGCAACACGTAGTCAGTCACTCAAGGAACCAGGCTTTCTCTCCCGGAGGACCTCAGGCCTGCAGACGTGGATAGAGTGAGTGTAGAGATCTACCTGTTCCTGGTCACAGTAGCCATCTCTGCTGGCAAGAAGTGGTCATATTATAGCCCATGTAGGCATAGGAGGCTGAGTAATGTAACCTAGCTGATGTGGAGAAGGTAGATACCAGTGAGCTCTGTTGTTCCCTATGGTGTTGCATGCCCACCCCGGACATCTCTCATTCTCAGGTGTCAGGACAGACAGTAGCTCTGCCTCCTGGCCACAGGGGATACTGCAGAATAAGTGCCCATCTATCACTCTTCTCTCACCCTCTGATCTCCAGCAGGTGCCTCCTCTTGGCCAAAGCCAACAGGAAGCCAGGGAGCCACAGAGCCCATGATTGTAGCCCAGAGAGTTCAGCTTCAGGGCAGAAGGCAGGCCCTGCCTGGAAGGGTGAATTGGAGATGTCCAGTGCACCTTCTAGAGTTGGTTTCTCATGTAGGTAATAGCAAAGAGCTGGGTAGAGAGGTGGGGGATATATTTTGTTTTTAGTATTTTGCAGAAAGGTCAGGGGTTTTGGGTGTAGGTGGCCCAGCTTCTCCATTTGCTGCCCGCTTGGTTTTTCTCTGAACCGCCATGTAGATAGGGACTGAGTTGGAGCCAAAGATACATAGATAGATATATAGATAGATAGATAGATAGATAGATAGATAGATAGATAGATAGTTGGGATTGCTGGTCAACTGCAGCTACATTCTAGCTTGCCACTGTCTTTCCCCCATAAGTTGTCTTTTTGAGGGTTGCAAGATTTGTGCTCTTGTCTATATTGTCTACTTTTCCACTTAGGTAGACATAGGCTTTCCATTAAGTAATGCTTTATGGAGAATACCCCATACATAATCCTGAACCCTCCAACCTAAGCTGGTTCTGTAATGGAGGAGGAGCACAATGTCAGCTCTCCCATCACATACCCCTTGTGCTGCTGACCCAGTGCTTCTCTTTCTTGGCTGTACCCTGAACACACATGGAAAGAGAGACTTGTGTGGCTGTCAGCACCAAAAGCACTGGTAACCCTGACTTTATCTAGTGTTACCAGAGGGGTTGTTAATGGTTTGGACTAAGCCAGGTGTTGCCAGGAAGCTTTGACACTTGATCAATATTTAATTAGGGAACCCCAACTTCAAATCAATAGGGCTCCTTAAGATGACTGCACTCAGCAACAAGACAAATACAGAAACCTCCTTGTCCTTGAGAATTCAAAGACATCCTTGCTGACAGGTATTCTCACCTGCAGCATAGCTCAAAGGGAAAGACTGTTCCACTCTTTACACTTCTCCCGTCCCATGCCATCTCCTGCCAAGTCTGGGAAGGTGGGGACTACCTACTGTTGCTGGAGGAGAGGCCCCCAACACGCTGGCATGGTTCCTTGCCATTGAGGTGGCCTGTGCATATTTGCACAGCTGAAAGCTGGCTCAGTCTGGCCTTTCTGGAGAGTAAGCCCCTGATTTTGGCCTTTTGACTCTAAACTAGCAAAGTTTTAACAACTGCCAACAACTGGCGGTCCACCTTTATAAATATTCTTTCCCTTCCTGCAGGCTAGGATGGTAGGTTGTACAATTTTTTTTGTTACTGTTTTTGGTTTTTTCTTTCTTTTTTTTTTGTTACCAGGGATAGAACTTGGGACCTTGCGCTTGTGAGGCAGGTGGGGGAACCACTGAGCTAAATCCCTGGCCCGGTTGCACAATTTTTGGTACAGAATTTATTTTTGGAAAATAAATATTTTAAGCTTCTAAAATCCAGATTTACAAACAGACCAAGAAACTTGGAAGCACTTAATGTCTTTCCAGTAGGCTATGAATATGATTATTTTTGAAGAAAATTTTCCTTTATGCATTTAAAGCAATTTTTTTTAAATGGACAAATTTAGAAGTTCTTTAAAATTAAGTGTGATTGAAGAATGCATTTATTTTATAAGACAGGATACCTAAGGCTCTTTTTTGTGTTGAGTTCAGCAGGAGAATTGGTCCAAGAATACAGAATAAAAGAGAAGCCGAGTCAATGCTAATGTGGCTTAAAGATGAGTGAGAGATGATTATGTTGCTGTTTAGTAAAACTGGCCTGTTCCATTTTCCGTTGTGTAGTATTACTACAGCGTAAAGGATATCAGCATTGGTGGGTGGTGTTCTTGCAATGGCCATGCTGAAGAGTGCAACACAAACAATCCCCAAAAACGGTATGTACACTGTGCAGCTTTTCCAGTCTTGTTATGAATAAGTCTAATTATTTCAGCGGATGTTTGCATCCCATTAAATATTTCTAGTCTCCTGCCTGCAACCAGAATGTTTCAGGGTCAACAGAAATGACGTGTGCACACCTCTCCTCCTGTAGCCCTCTATTTCCTTCTGCAGATCCCCAGTAGCCCCATGGCAGACATGATTAATCAATCACAGCACTCCATGGATGATATGGGAGACAGCCACCACCCCTAACAGAAGCAGGTGCCCCAGGCAGCCACTAATCATTTTGTTCCCTGTAATTTGATTTTCCATTTTCTTGGTTGTGGGGTCTGCCATGTTTGATGTTTTCTATCTCAAGGTGGAATAGCCACAGAAGGTAAGAGCACACCCTGGGTCTGACCCACAATGAACATATTCTCATGCAAACAGAAAACCTATGTCACTGCCGTTCAAGACATGATGAACTAGCTAGTCAAATGAATTTCAGCCCTGGTTAAATTCTGCCTACGCAGAGGAATTCAATGATGAAAAAAAATCTGTTTCTAAATCATCTATGTGAGGATGGTGTTTATAAATGTTCAAATAATGCTTTTTTCTAGTTCGAATTATACTTAAGTGATCTAAAAGAATTATGAAGGGAAATAAAGCTATTTAATTTATTTTTATTTTTTTAACTATTTAATCTAGGTGCTTTTTGGGGGTACTAAAAGTACCCATATAAAAAGTACTTGATGAGAAGTGAAACCCAGAGTAAATCTGGAACCATCATGAATTTTGAACATTTATTACAAAGAAATTATTCAAATATCCTAAACACACAAGTCACACTCATTGTTTGATGTCATTTGTCCCAGAAGACGGATAGTGATTGGATTTCACTAGAATGGGGCTTCTGGGCAGGCCAGGGTGAGCTCTGTTGTTATTTTTATGACATTCTTTTTCTGTTCTTCCTATGGCAGTGTAGTTGGTGCTACTCCCCAGTTAGCATATTCTATCCAGTCGGCTTAAGGTGAAAGTCACCATTTTTTTCCCCTATGGACCATCATGAATAGAGCTGGTCCTAGATGCAAATGACAGAATTTAAGCCTCCTTTTGTGACTTATCTGATGTTGCAAGACAAGCCATTAATAATTGATTAAATTTGGCAAGATAAGTAAATTTTATTTATCATCCCTGGTTTAATGAAATGGGAGGGTTGTAGATTTTCAAATCCTTTTAAAATATATTTTTTAATTGTAGTAAAATGCACATTACCAACTCTTTCATTTTGACCATTTTAAGTGGTGTTGGGTACATTCACAAATGTTATGAAAGCAAATGCCAGCTGTCTTTTTATCTTGCAAAAGTGAAACTCCATCCGAATTAAACAACCATTCACCTGTACCTGCCACACTCCGCCAAGCACAGTGCCTCTTTTGGTCAGTATTAATGTGATGATGTGAGAGAAATCGAAGAAGTGGGAATTTACAGTATTTGTCTTTTGGTAGCTGGTTTAATTCACTTAGCATAATGTCTTCAAGTTTCATCTAAGTTGAGCAATTTCCTTCCCTTTTAAGGCTCAACAGAATTTCATTGTCTGTATAGGAGCACATTTTGTGTATTCATCCATCCAAATGTTGCCATCCCTCCTTGGTGATCAGGGGGTGTCTCTGAGGGTGCTTGTCCACCCAGTGACTGATGTGCAGTTAGCGAGGGCTTGCTCATTAATGACTGTCCTGTCTTGACCGTGTACCCCTCTGGAGGGTAGGGCTTTACAATACTAAAGCAGATAAGTCCTGAGTTGGAGAAAGAGGAAAAACAAAGTAGTGCCCTGTAGGACAGGAATGGAAGCCATTAGAGAAGGACTCAGCTTCCCCCTTAGAAGGGCTGCCAAATCCTGTTGACCCTGACAGACCTGGATGACTTTTGTCCTGGGTAGTAAATATCTCCCAATATGTGCAAATAGAGAGGCTATCTCCCTATGCCTTGGTGAAAAGCTCAGTTTGCCAGTCCACTCCAATGTGACTACCTTGCTTTCCTTTGTCTACTTGTTTTCTCCTGCTTGACAGACTGAACTTGAGCAAATGCTGATGAAATCTACACCTAGGAACAAGAGAAAAAACTTACAGTATTCTCTTCTTCCCAGTACCAGGGATGAAACTCAGAACCTTGCGCTTGCAAGGCATGTGCAGTGCCCCTGAGCTAAATCCCTGGCCCTCTTATAGTATTCTTAAGGGGATTCAGTGACTTAGTGGAGGGAGCCAAGGCTGCATAATCATTAAGTTAGTTGCTAATCAGGCAGAAGCCTTTAACCAAGGATGTATACCATACTGACTTTGATGGATGGATAGATGGAACACACGTTTAGTTCTGAGCTTCCTAGCAGCCAATTTAAAAGGTTTTCATATTTATTGCTTTCATATTTATTTTATTTCACTTGTTTTTATGTTGGTTACACAGGTTAGTGGGTTTCATTTTAGCAGATTGCACATGTATATCATAGTTTGACAATTTCAGCTCCCCTCATCACTTCCCTCACCCTCCTTCCTGCTAATTTCGCGTTTTGGGGGGAGATTCAATGTGTATAATATATTTTGCTCATATCCATTCCCTCCATTGTCTGCCCTTTCATTCCCTCCCCTCCCTCTTATTTCCTTCCTCTTGTCTAATAATAATCTCACTTCTGCTTTCTTATAGTCTTTTTAAGATTCTGCATATTACGGAGGACATGCAATATTATCTTTCTGTTCTGACTTATTTTGCTCAACACGATGGTCCCCAGATCCATCTATTTTCTTGCAAATGACAGAATTTCATTTTTTCTTTTGGCTGAATAATATTCCACTGTGTGTATACACTACACCTTTATCCATTCGTCTAGTGATTGTTATCTAGGCTGGTTCCATACCTTGGCTATTGTGATTGTGCCACAGTGAACATGGGTGTGCAGGGGTCCCTGTAGAATGCCCACTTTAATTGGTTTAGGTACATACTAAGGAGTGGTACAGCAGAATCAAATGGTAACTATTTTTTGTTTCTTGAGGAACCTCCATACTGATTTCCACTGATTTACATTCCTCCCAGCAGTGTAGAAGGGTTCCTTTGTCCTGCATCTTCACCAGCAGTTATTGTTTTTCATATTTTTGATGATAATCATTGGGACTGGGGTAAGATGGAATCTCAGTGTAGTTTTGATTTACATTTCATTTGGTTTCATATTTCACTTTGATTAGAACCTAAAAACTAATCAATACCATAGGAGAAACAGGTCATAGATATTGGGACTAGATAAGAATGTTCCCTGGGGGTTGGGCAGAGAGGTCATTATGAAAAGGATTCTCTACCGAATGATATGTTTTATAACATTGTTATAGCAGGCACAAGGACAAATGTTCTAAATAACCTTTAGCCTAGACTGAGAAGTATTTAGCAAGAGCAATGACAATATGACTTAGACAGGTACTCAACCTCCTGTCTTTTTTTTTTTTTTGATACTGTGCTCAATTGTTAATTTCGCTCTGAGGATAGATGGACCATATGTTCTTCAAGCAATGGTCCCTAAATATTCATTCAGCCCAGCATATGCCAAGTATTTCATGGGCATTGAGCTGAATTACCTCTCTGAGAGAGCCCTTTTGGAGTCCAGCAGCTGTGCGCTGCCAGCTAGGTTATGTCCATGCCCTTCAAGAGGCTGTTGCTCAGGGAGTGAGATGACACATGCTTGAAGGAGTGTGACTGAATCCGTGCCACCCCACCTCCCCTGGAAGGAGAGCTGAGGGGATCTCACAGCCCTGCCGGAAACTTCTTCGACAACTGCTTGGAATCCTCTTGCCAGCATAGATGAGTGGAAACTCAAAGCTTGGAGTTCTAACCCAATACCAAAGCAACAGCCATTTCATTTTTTTTTATAAGGGAAAATGTTTATGAATTTAGGGTAGGCAAGAACTTCCTAGCATACAAAAGACATGATGTATAAAAGAAAAATTGATAAATGAGAGTCCATCAAAATTTAGAACTTTAAATGACATCGTTAAAATGAAAAGTAGTCTTTAAACAGACCATATTTACAATGCATATAACCTATGACAAGAATATATAGAGAACTCTTACAGCTCATTTATAGACAACCCAATTAAAAAGTAGACACAAGATGATAAATAGCCAGTACAGCACAAGGAAAGGTGTGCAACTCTAGAATCAGAAAAATACTAATCAGTACAATAACAAGATTGAATTATACACTCACTAGGGAGATGAAGTTAAGTTTTAAAAGCCTTGTCATGACTTTTTCTTTTTGTTGGATTCTCCCCCATTACATTTAATTTGTCACGCCCCGTGGATTCCTTCTGCTGGGCTTCCTGGGGTTGTGATCCTCGTTGTCTTTTCCTAGGATATTGTCCAAACTTTTTTGGAGTGCCGGTTTGGTATTCATGAAGTTTCTAAGGTGCTCTTTATCATGAAAGTATCTTATTTCTCCATCAATTTTGAAAGATAGTTTTTCAGGGTACATCAATCTAGGTTGGAGGCTGTTTTCCTTTAGGGCTTGAAATACATCACTCCAAGCTCTTCTTGCCTTGAGGGTTTGCATTGAGAAGTCTGCTGTGATTCTGATGGGCTTTCCTTTGTATGTGATTTGTTTCTTTTCTCTCACTGCTTATAGAACTTTGTTCTTCTGCTGGTTTTCTGGAATCCTAACTATTATATGCCCATGTGTAGATTTTTTTTGATTAAGGATAGCTGGAGTCCTATATGCCTCACTTATTTGTATGTCAAGTTCTTTTCCCCTCCTTGGGAAGTTTTCTGGCATCACTTCTGTGAACAGCTTTTTTATGTCATCTGCACTCGCTCCTGTTTCTTCGTTGACTCCAATCAGTCTTATGTTATTCTTCTTTGCATCATCTAGTGGCTGCTGGATTGCTTTCTCATAGACCCTTACAATTTTGAAGCAATTTTTCTTTTCCTGGTCACTAATTGCAATCTTATCTTCTATATGTGAAATTCTGTCCTCACATTGGTTCATTGTGCTGTGTAAACTTTCAGTGGAGTTTTTAATCTCCTGGAAATCTGTTTGCATCTGTTTTATGGATTCCATTTGTTTCCTATGTTGCAATTCCATCATGTTCCTCAGATCCTCTATTTTTTTTATGTGTCCTCTCTAGATTTATTAATCATGTCTTGCACTATGAGCAAAATCTTTGCTGTTTTCTGAGAAATTATTTCTGATTTCATTTTTCCCAGATCCTCTTTTGTTGCCAGTTCAGGGAGTCCAGGTTGTTGAGTATCAGATTGTTCCATCTTGTTTCCCTTTGGGGTTGCTCTAGGTGATCTGGAAGGAACAGCCATTTCATTTTAAAATGGAAAAATTTTAAGACAAATGTGAGACTTTTAGATTTTTACACCTTTGCCTTGCCAAGTGATCTCAGCTTTTGGCCCTGTGATGGAGCAGAGTATTCTGATATTTTTATTGCAGCTGTCACTTGATCAGTAAATCTCTGTGGGTGACCATAGGTTAGGAGTAGGAAGCATAAGCAGACCTTTCTCCAGGACTACTCCAGACACTGGTAAAGCTGTGATACTGAACACCTCCCAGAAACCTTAGCACTTGCTTGTTCGTTGGCTTATCTATTGTAACATAATGTGGTAGAGAAGAAAGAGTGGGGGCTACTGAGTCAAACTTAGGTTTGAAATCTGGTTCTCCATTTATCACTGCTTGACTTTTGGCAAGTATACTACCTCTGCATTTTAGTTTCACCATTGCTGATAAGAAGCAAGGATATGGAGGGCTTGAAATCATATACACAAAATGCTTTGTTATCATAATTACTCAATGAATCTTGCATGGATGACCCTTTGATGTATTCTCATGTCACTCTGGCACACAGGAACAAATGATCTTACCCAAAATTTTTCAATCACTGCAATATGCTTTGCTTACACACTCAGGTACCAGTGTGAATGCCAGCACAACACTTGTGGGGAGACATGCAATACCTGCTGTCCTGGGTTCAATCAGAAGCCCTGGCAGCCAGCAACATCACAGCAAAGCAATGAGTGTGAAGGTGGGTGCTGGGTGGGGCTGGCTTCTCCCTTCTCCACCTGAGAATGATGCCATGTTTTCCCAAGCCTATGAAGAGGCTGGATTACATCAGCTTTAGGACTCAGGTCTGATACTGTATAGAAATTCTCCCTTATCCTTGGGGTAAGTGCCCAGATGCCCTAGAATCAAGGATAGTACTGAATCTTGTATATGTCATATTTTTCCTGTATATATATATACCTCTGATAAAGTTGAATTTATAAACTAACACGGAAAGGGATAACAAGCGCTAATAACAAAGTAGAACAGTCATAACAATATACGAATATAAAATTGGCAGCATTTCTACTCTTGTTCTTTGGGGCCACTATTAAGGAAACAAGGGTTATGTAACCCTTTGAGCCTCAGTTTTTCTATCTGGGGTGTAGAATACTGTTACTTTAGAGTGTTACTGAGTAGATTGTGTGATAATGTGTGTAAAACACTTTTCACAGTAGGTGAGTATGTGAGCTCACAGTATGAATCAATTATTATTAGTAGTAATATCAGTAATAGTAATAGTCTTTGTGCATGAAGTTTAATTGTCATTTTGGTGCATCTTAATTTGTTATAATTGCATATCTTACTTTTCAAAAAAGAGGAATCACTCTCATTTAATATCAAATAGAAAGAGCTATACATAATTTAAAGTTATATACTGGACTTTGTGTAAAAATCCCTAAAATTCTTCTCTAAGAGTAGCCCTGGTATTCCAGAAAGGACTTTACTATAGCTCAATAAGCAGTAATACCATCTGGGAGTTTACTAAGTGTCTCATAGTAATGATAGAATATTGATCTAGTATGCTTCTTTTCAGCCTGCAATTGCCATGGCCATGCCACAGACTGTTACTATGATCCAAATGTTGAAGACCAGCATAAAAGCTTGAAGACCAAAGGCATCCATACAGGTGGAGTGGTCTGCATCAATTGTCAGGTGAGGAACAAGTTAAATCAAAGTGGATTTAATAGGGCACGAGCATTCTGTAAGCCCTGCTCTCAAAGTGATGTCAAAAAGTAAGATGCAATTAAAAGTCTTTTCTGAGACCATTTCTCCACTTTTGGCCACAAAAGGTCTTATTAGCTAGATGTAATTTAGGAATCATAAAAAAGTGGACTGAGGTTTGATTCTCTGAACTCCTTTGAGTATGTCAATCTTTGCCTAAATAGAGAGGAGAGTTCCTGACTACTATCCATCTTGTGGTGGAGAGGCTCCACAGTAGGAGGGGCAAATAGGCATGGACTTCAGTACTGACCTTAAATCCTGCTTTCAGGCAGATTCTGAGTCTAGATACACTGAGGAAGTGCATCATGATTGGTTCATGATGTTTGCCAAGATACTGAATATGAAGCACCATTATTCACCTCTTCTAGGACAGCTGGGTTCACTGGAATCCTGGCAAACTAGGAGAAGTGAACTTCTGCAGTTTGATAAAGGACAGTTATTGAAATCCAACAACTACCATCACATTAGTGGTAACATTAAACTCTTTTGTTCTAAATACTGTAACAAAATGAGGATGTTTACTCTTTATCACTTCTGTTAAACACTAATCTAGAGTTCTTTTTGGGGGGGCAGTACCAGGAATCGAACTCCAGTCCTTGCGCTTGCAGGGCAGGTGGTGGCACCACTGAGCTAAATCCCCAGCCCTAATCTAGAGTTCTTAACCATTGTGATAAGGCATGAAAAAGAAATGAAAGGAAAGAAGAAGTAAAATTGATGCTATTTTCAGGTGACATGATTATTTATATAGAAAATCCTAAGGCATATATAGAATGATGCCTAGAACTAATAAGTGAATTTAGGAAGATTGCAAGATACAAGGATAATATATAAAAATGAATTGGAGTGTTATATACTACCAGCAGGGAACAATAAGAAAATGAAGTAAAAATTCAATTTAAAAATGTAAAAAAATACTTAGGAATAAACATAACAAAGGCATACAAGACCTCTATACAGTACTAAAGTCATAAAACATTACTGAGAGAAATTTAGAAAGATCTAAATAAATGGGAAGGAGGAGATAATGGATAACCATGTTTCTGGATTGAAAGGTTCAATATTAAGATGTCAGTTCTCCTCAAGTTGATCCAAAGATGGGTAGGAGTTGACAAACGGACTCAAAAGTATATGTAGATGTAAATTGCCTACAGTATCCAAAATCATCTGGAGAATTATCATCATCATAAAGAAATGATTCATATTCAAAGAGATAGATTATGTCTACCCTGATTGAATCATTATGAAACATACATAGGTATGGAAACATTACATGGTACTCCATAGCTATATACAACCTTTATGGCCTTCTGTAGCTTTTAAAATAGATTTAAATAAGATAAAGAGCTGGAAGATTTATATTATTTTACTCCAAGACTAACTATAAGGGTACAGTAATCAAGACAATGAGATTTTGACATAAAGTAACAGAGTTGGGACAGAGGATAAACCCACATTTCTGTGGATATTTGATTTTTGATAATAGTACCAACACAGTCCAATGAGGGGAAAGCTCTTTCAACAAATGTTCCTGGAAAAATTAGATTTTATGTGAAAAAGGATAAACTTTCATCTTTTCTCAAATCCCATAAAATTCCAATTGGTATGAATCGTGGATCACAAGTAAAACTAAAGCTTTAGAGAAAAATACAGAAAAATATTCTTTTGATTCAGAGAATGAGAAAGTTTTCTTAGGTCATGTACAGCAGTAACCATGAAAAATGAACAATTAAACTTTATCAAAATTAAAAAGGCTTGTTTATGAAAGACAATATTGAGAAAATGAATAGGCAAGCTGAAGACAAGGAGAAAACATTCAAAAAACATAAATCTGATAAATTATTGCATCCAAGATATATAAAGAACTCTCCTACCTCAGGAACAAAAACAAAAATAACTCCCTAGAGTATCCAAAAGATTTAAACAGCCACTTCACAAAAGTAGGTATGTAAATGGCCAATAAGTAATGCTTAATATCCTTACTCATTATAGAAATGCAAATCAGAATTACAATGGCATAGTACTATGTAGTCACCAGGATGACAATTATTCAAAATGGCTATTTGCATCAAATTTTGATGTGGGTGTAGAGCAACCATGCCTACCATAGATGGCAGTGTGACTACAAAATGGTACAACCCCTTTGAGACAGGATTTTGTTATAATACTAAACATACATCTATCCCATGACAAATTTACTCCTAGGCACTTAACAGCTTATGCAGGTAGTTCCAAACTGGAAATAGTCTAGGTGCTCATCATTAATAGAGTGGAGGAACAAATCCTGGTGTATTCATGCAAGGGAAAGCTAAGGAGCAATAGAGAGGATGGAACTACTGATGTATGCAACAACATCTAACAATCTTAAAAGCATTATGTTAAGTGAAAGTCAACAAAAAACAACAAAAAAGAGCATGTATTGTGTGAGAGCCATTATAATGGAATTCTGAAACACAAAACTAATCAATAGTGGAAAAAAATCAGAATTGTGGTTGACTCTGAGAAGGTGGTGATGGGGTTGACAGGGAAGGGACATGGGGAAGCTTCTTGTGTGATAGTATTGCTCTATACTTACATAAGGAATTGAGTCTCACATTTATATGGATTTTTCTTAACTTGGTGAATGTACAATTAAGAGTTCTGTACTTTTTGTATTTACAGTCAAAGAGTAAAAACTGAACACATATTGAACTCCATTTAATCAAATCCATGCTGAAATACTTAGGGGAAAGTGATTCTTTTCTATAACTCATTCTGAAATGCATAGAAAATAAGATGGACTAATGGGTGGAGAGGTGGATACTTATGCAATAAAGTAAAATGTTAATGGTAAACACCTTGTGGGTGGTATATATATGTTGACTTGTAAAATTGGAAATTAAAAAAAATACCGTGGAACCTTGGTTCACAAACACTTTTGTTTGCAAACAATTTAGTTTGCAATTTAGTTTGTTTATCAGGTGACAAATATAGTCATGTCCATCTTTCCTGAATGCACACAAATATGGCCATCTTTTCTAGAATTGTGGAACAAATTAAGTTCATGAACCCAGGTACCACTGTACAATGTTGAGAGAAAAGAGCAATGAAAAATGTCAGCAGCACAATATTTTAAAAGTGATTCTTGATTTCTTTCCCTTTGGTGAACATTGATATACTTTTTAAAATTGAGGATAACCCATATTGTTTGAGATAATGCATGAAGATATTTTATCTCCATCAACTAACATAGTTTAGTGTCTTCCATAAAAGCATAAGGTTTTTTTTCCTCATTAAGTTTATTGGTACATTTTAGGTATAAAATATAGTTACATTAATCATTGGGATCTTGTACCATTACATGAGTATCTTGATTCTTATTTTTTACCCCCTTCCCCTGCCCTCCCTTTACCCCCTCCACCCTTCCCTATTTTGCAAAGACTTTGTTTCCATTTTTTTCCTTTTCTCATATTTTTTCTTTTCCCTTTTTTCCTTTCCCCTACCCCTCCAACTTCCCCTGCTCCTTTAGACCTTTTCTTCCTGTTACACAATATCAATTATACATTTTTTAAATTACAATATC